TGGAAGCTAAGGACGATCAAGTCGGGTGGTTTTGGGCACGCTCCGATTTTCTGCTGCAGACTCCCCGGGAACCCCCGTTTCTTCGGCAGTGCCCCCACCTCTCTCCCAACAACAGTTTTCTGCAGTGTCTCGGGGACAAAACTCAGCAGTTGCCCAACTCATTTTATTCCCTCCAAGTCCACAGGCATCTGTGGCGTGGGAAAGCAATTACAAAGCCCGGTGCTCTCATGTGTCCAGGTACTGTAAACTCCATAGATTATGTTTTACTGCTCTTTTTTTTCCCCCCTCTCAACAGGTCTGTCCTTCCTTCTGCATGGCTGCTTACAGGAGCAACCAAGAGAAGAGCTGGCCTCTGGCCAAGCATTTGAGGACCTGCGCTGCTCTAAAAGCTGGAATCTGGCTTCGCGGAAACCACCGTACACTGTTTTCTCTCATCTGCCACAGACAAAGGTAAGGAACAGCACCCCACGCCCTCTCCCAGGCTCTACTTTACTCTCACAGAAACAACTTCTCCGTATACTGTCACGGTACAAATCCCCAGCACAGAGGCGCCACTTACTAGGAGGCTGATCAAGTTTTACTATTGATGCTTGTAGTGCATAAAGTGCTTGTAGTTCCTTCTCCGTGTCTGAGTCTAGGTACTTGAGTAAGATCGGCACTCTCTGTTTGATAACAGCAGTGTCCACACGGAAGCTGGAAGAGTCCGCTGCGGGGAAGAGAAGGAAACAGGGTCAGCTTTGGTTCGTGGCAGCAGGCGCGGATCTTTTATTGCCCTTATTTATTCCAACAGAAATCACAGGTACAGGTTAGCGTGGAGAGAAAAGAGGATGAGAAACGTTATTTCTCATCAATGGCTTTTTCTGGAAGTCTTGGTTCTTCCAGTTCCCCAAATTCAACCAGTGTCTGCAGCGACCCTGGCCCTAACCAGCCTGCTGACACACGCAGAAGAATTACAGCTTCACTTTGCAGCGCAAATCGTGGTGCTTCCACAGGCAAATAGATGTCCAAAGTGCCTACAATGGCTAGGGCTAACATTTCGGTTACATAGGTGGTTTTTGGAAAATTGTATCCACATATGGCACAGGAAATCAGGAATATATAAAACCCACACATTAGAAGTCCATTGGCAACACGGATACATTATCCAGCAGCTTTAAAGCAGATCATGCAACACAACTAAGTGATATTTTGAAAACAAAAGGAAAAAACCCTCAATTAGAGGCAAGATCAAAATGTAAACCAGAAGACGACGTTCCCGATATGCATCGGGCAACTCCTAAACGCTCGTAATCAAATCCTGCGTCATTGCGCCTTAACACTAGGTGGCATCAGAAAGGTTCTGTTCTCAGGGAGAAGAAAGGAGCTGGGCTCCCTTTGCCCTCGCAACAAGCCGAAGTTCAGACCATTCTCTCCACCAAGCGCGACTCTTCCGGCTAAGGGCAGAACCGGGCGCTTTACGAGCGCAATTTTCCGCCTTGCCAGATGCCAACAGTAAAGTTAAAGCAAACAGAGTGAATGACCAGATGTTTCTGGCTGCAGCGCCTTATTCCAGCCCCCCTGAGGGCCTGAGGCTCGCACAGACTTGCAAACCCACCCTTTCCTCCATTTCCAGCTGTACATTCAAATAACCCACGTCAACCTTCTTTCCAAAACTGCAGCTTTGGACGTAAAACTATGAACGAGGCAGAGACGCAGGCTGGCTTCTCCTCTGCAGCCCACGCTTCCAACTCGCACGTGGCAATCTGCGATGGCAGAGCGCCCACACGTCCCCGCTGACACAGGAGTGGAAATGCTAATTATCTTAATAACGTCTAGCGCATTTCCACCTTCACGAGAGAAATCAATGAACAATCTGGCAGTACTCAAGAGTCGTCTGCGACGTCTGCTCACGCGAGGTCACCGGGACACGCCAGGGCCCCGAGAACACCGGCAGAGCGCCGGGCTGTCGCAGGGGGAACAGACATCCCGCTGTCGAGCGCTAGAATTCAATATGGTGATAAAAAACAGCCTCAGGGGAGGGGAAAGTGATATAAACCTGAAAAATATAAATCAAATCTTTGCGCGTGTGGTTTGTACGGTGTTTATGTTGCAAGTTACTCACCTATAATAGCTGCTTTACAAACTGCTGTCATTAAAGCTCTAAGGAATGTAGGTGAACTCATCTGGCTTTCATCTAGATTAGCCTGAAATCAAGAGTAAATGGACCAGTTAAAAACACGCCACTATGTGAGAGCGATCGCTTCCAAACTCCACCGCTGAGTTTGGCAGCAAGTTTGAGTTCAGCAACAGCTGCTGCAGGAGAAATCCCCTTCACCCCCTCCAACAGCTCAGCTTCCCCATTCGCCTCTCGAAACCAGCGCAGGTACCTCAACGTGCAACCACAGCTCTCCTCGATCAATACACCAGTGAACCAAAGAGCCGCTTGTCTCGAGAAACAAACCGACGACACTTGGCTTTTACAACGCTTTATACGTTTTTCTAAAAGTTCTAGGGTTTTTCAAGAAATTTTACAGCGTGCTCCTCGGGTGGAGATTTGTTTGCTTTGTAGAAAAAATTCCGAGGACGCCTGTGTAACTTGTCCAAGACTACAAAGAGCCTGTGGGTGTCCCCAGATTTTTAGTGCTGCTTTTCATCCCCCTCTCGACCTCTCTAACAGCAGGAAAAAAAACCAACCAACCAAACAAAAAAAGACATTTCTAACATGTAGCTCCCGCAATAGAAATAACCGAAATGAAGCTGACCACGGTTTAGCTGTGAGCACAGACCTAAACAATCAGGTTGGGGATAACTTCAGCCACTAGATTAAATATCTGGCTTCAAGGATGCAGCCAGAGATAGAGGGCAAAAGATCAGTGGGTTGACAGGGCTTTTTTTTTTTCTCCCCTCCTTTTTCTTTATTTTCTCCTGCAGTGTCTGGTCCAATGCGCTGGGAAAGGTACACGTGCCCTCAGCAACTGCCCAGGATGGTTTTGCAGCACCGCAGGGCATGCGCCTGGGCAGGGGGGAACTTGCACAGGCCATGTTCCGAAAAGCCATGAGAAGCTTTAATCCCATATTTTGGGAAGAAGGAATGTAGCACTGTGCTTGGTCTGAAACGTAGTCAATAGCCAGAAGCAACGTATTCAGTGCCAAAAAGTCCACCGTATTTAAAAGTTACACAGTTGTACGTTAATATAGCTAAAATTCTTTCTTCCTAAAGCTTACTATGAAATAACCAACTGATTATATTTTAGATTTTAATTCTTTGGGAGCGCTGATTGCTCCCACCTAACCACCTCGGTGTCCTAAGCCTTGGGAGGAGCCTGCAGAGATGCTCCTTTAGGTGAGAAAATATTTACAAAAGCCGTTACAGCGTACAGGAAGGGCGAAAACAGTCTTTGTACCTCTACCCAGTCAAAGATTTGTTCATCATTCGCCTTGTCCTCAACAATGAGTTTTTCTAGCTGCTTGCTCAGCTCTTCCGCAGAGAGTTCTTTCTCTGAAAGTGCTTCTGAGGAACTGGAACAGTCGGACTCCGTGAAGTCCAACTTCTGCAACGTCAGAAGGGACGAAGAGAATTAGTTAAAGGTACTTTCCTGTGCTGAATTACACCAAATTGCGGCAGCAAGCTGCCCTTCATTCTGCTTTCCTGCATCTTTCAACTGCTAAGGTATCATTACAACGATTTAGATACTTTTTCTGTCCCAAAGATTCGAAAGCAAACACATGGGAATGACATTACCCAGCAAAGACAACCAGGCACCTCAGAGCAACTCCAGCCCTGTGCGATACGAGCACGCACAAAATAAAGCGCGTGTTGCTCAACTAAAACGACGGGGAGCTGGAATGCAATTCCCAGAGCTGGCGTTCGCTCAGAGAAACCGCAGCCAACGCCCCAAGTCATTGCAAAACGCGACAGAGGATCTCCAGTCCCCTCACCAAGCCCCAGGCCTCGGTAACCCATTTCATCTCCTGCAGCGCAGCACTTCCTAAGTGCTAAAACAGGGCAGTGGATCACTTGGAGCTCCAAACGGAGACCTCCGGCTTCTTCCTTCGGAGCTGCAACGTGCCCTCTGTCAGGCCTGGCTCCTGGCGGTTCTGAAACCCCCCGGGATCGTAACGCGAGGTGGGATGAGTGGGTAATCGTGACCGTTTACCCTGGCCCTGCCGCAGATGGTCCGTCCTTGCTGCAAAACGCATTCTCGAGTTCCTTCCCCCCCAGCTGGAGAAAAAGATCTCCCAGAGGAGGCCAGCTGATGGGAGATGCGTGCCTGGGATCGGAGGGGACAAGCCCATCCTCCTGCCATTTCAGAAAGGAAGCGAGGGAGATGCTTTACCCCCCGGTCCCATACCAACTACGTGTAAGAACGGGATGGAAGAGGATGAACAAACGGGACGTGGGCCCAAGAATCAGTGTGCCAAAATCATTAAGCAAATGCTCGCTCTGAACTCACTTGTTCCGTGAGAAAGGTATGTACATCCTCCCCTTCGGGTAAGTAGTCCTTCCAACTGAGGCCAGACTCCCTCCATAAGGCTCCCACTTTCTTATGGCTCTGAAACACACAGAGTTTGTTCATTTTCAAGACTTGAGAGACAAGCAGGGGGAGCTTACACACGCCGGAGTGGTGCAGCTGTGTCAGGAGAAATAAAGAACTGTTCAGCCACCAAACAAGACGCCTAGCAATGAGGTGAACACGTCTGGAAGTCCCGTGCAAGAGAAATCACATATGCAATCCTGCCACAGCTCTACACATCTTGTCAAGTGGTCAAACGCCACGGTGATGGGTAATAAACAAGGCATAATGTGACACGTGGGGTTTGCAACAACTTCAGCCAGAGGTTACCTACGGCAAGTGACGCGTCTGAACAAGGCCCGGTTTCCCACGGCCGTGACACACAGCTAGCAGTTAGATGACGTAGATTCATCTCTTGACTCTGTCATTGACTTACGCCGTGACTCATTCTCCCCCTGCCTTGACATTAAGGCACCAGCAAATCAGCTACTTTTAGAAAATAATTATTTACACGGCTGTTTTCTGTGCAGAGCTCAAGCCCCAGATTCAGCTACGTAACACCAAGTTCACTCTTCAATTCCTAGAACTCGCTGCGAACCCTGAGAAAAGCGCCTTCGCGGCACCCACAGTCCAACCTCCCGCACCCCCTAACGTCACGCTGACCCTGCAGCGCCCTGCCTGAGACGGCACCTACACAACTCTGACAAGAATTGTAACATCCAGCTCTTGTCACCCGAATGCTTTGCCAAACCTGTTACCTTGCAGCACCTGCACAAGGGGGATGGCTGCGCAGCCCAAGCTAAGCGCTGCTGAGAGCAGCCTGGTTTTCCGTTTACAAAGCAGATTACCATCTTAAGTTTGCCACGCAGATCGTTAAGAGCTAATTGTGCACAGTTCCTGCTGTGAGTCATCAGGATCTGAATTACATGACTGATATTGCATTGAAATACCGCGTCCAAGTACTGGCCTGGACGAGACCGAATTAGAAAGCTGTGGCAGAAACAGAAACCCAAGGCTCTGCTTCAACCCCCAGAGTTTTTCTTTCACAGAACAGAGAGAAATAAATGGAAGTCGACTTTCCAAACAAGCGTAAGGCTAAAATAAATAAATAAAAAGGTCACTATTTGCACTGCTAGACTGAAATGCTCCTGGAACATTCAACCTTATTTGAATGCATGCTTTAAAAAAAAAAAAAAAAAAAGAAAGAAAAAGGCAAGTGAGGGATTTTACAGGGTTGAAAATAGACACTATCCAAAGTGCAGTATTTAGCTGGATTGAAAAAAAACAGAAAGACAAAAAAATGGAGACAGAGTTATAGGGAAACCACCAAACTGTTTGGACACACAACTGTGAAACGTGTAAGAGAGCTCTAGGAGTTACAGGGTGAAAAGGTGTCACTACCCCTAGTGACGGGTGAATCTTAAGACTTGGCAGGTTTAGTCTGGATAAGCACCCAGAAGTCTGAGAGGCCATCTGAAGCTTATCCCAACCCTCAGAACCTCTCCGGTCTGCAAGAACAGCTCTCTCGCAAGATTCCCGGCACTTGCTGCTTCTGGTCAGCCCAGAAATACCTTGAGAATGTCCCTCTTGCAGTATTTCAGCACTCTAGCTTCTGGAAGAAGCCAGGTACAAAGGTACCTACAAAAGGGAAAAGTGATGAGAAAAAAAAAAAAACAGTTAACTTTTTGGAACCTCGTAAGGGTTGGTTTGAAACTGGGGAGGAAGAGGCGGGTTTCCTAGGTTATCTGGACTGGCTGGCCCATCCCTAAATATCTTCTCGTGGGAAATGTGGAGGCTTCATGCACAAAACTCACTGCATCCAGCTCCTATCTAGGAGTGACAGGCCTGGACACTTACCATTTGTTTGCATAGAAGGTGCAAGATTTCAGCAAGCAAGACGCCGGCTCTTCCCACAGGAAGCAAAGGTTTGCTAAATTCTCTAGAATGAAAGAAAACCAGGTATTTTTCCTTATAATTTGAATTGTCTGAAGACAGTTTCATCCTCCTAAAACAGTGCTCCGAGCCTGGGATGCAAGGCAAGGGGCAGTGATCAAACTGAGGCAGGAAAACATCGAACTTCTGCCAGGGATGAAGGGTTCGCTCCAGCCAGCGCTGCCGATACGCCAGACTTCAGCGACGCAGCGCAGGCGTTTTTGTGGGATGCTGCATTCGGGTAGCAGGACCCTTTTTGGGGAAAAGGCTATTACTGTCTTAATTCACTGCTTTCAGGAAAAGAGAACCATTCCATTGGCTTCTAGTTAATCCCCAAATATATCAGGACATGTACCAAACACAGAAACTCTGGTCCTGGAAGCAGTTTCCAGCCTTGCAGGCAAGGTTTTGTGCCCGTTTAAGGCAATGCCCAGGTGGCAGTTACTACACGCCGAGACATCAAGGCTCCGGCGTGATTCCTCGCTCTCTTCAAACCTCATTCTCACAGCCTCGGTGCGCTCTCAAGCGACTGACTGCACAACACCGGGGTACTTTTCAGCTCAGCTGACGCAACCAGGATTGAAGTAAATTTACGGATAAAACTTTCACCCCTGAACGGTGACCGCGGGCAGCGAGCTGCCTTCCCACCGCAGCTTTCAGCCCGGTGCGAGTCCCGAGCGACGCGCAGCAAGTCTTTTATCAACTCGCACGAGACGCTGAGCCTCTAATGCTGCTCGTCTTTTATCTACTAACGGGAACCACGCTGTGAAAATCCTACGGCGTAGCCCGGCAGACAGCTCAGCTCGACCGACACCGGAAAAGAACAGCGCTGCTTACTGTATGAGTTCTCTCATAGAGATTCCTCCTTCTTTTAACATGGGGGTCACCAACTCAGCTAGGTACAACCAAATATGGGGTATATCTATGGCCATATCGTCCGCCATCTCCAAGGTATCTGAAAAGCTTTAAAAGAAGAAGGAAAAATGTCAAGCGTTACATACAATTTAATTTGAGACTTCGCCTGCAAAGCAAATCTGCATGTTTGAAAATCCTTTGTTCAAAAACAACAAAAAACACCCCCCCAGAAAAAAAAGGAAAGGCAAGAAAAAAGAAAACCACAAAGGTAACAAAGGAAACTATGCTTTCAGTGCTTCAAAACTGCCAGGAATGATTTTCTCTACACAGTAACGTGGAGAGTACACGTGGTAAAGGCATTGCCTTTGGTAAAACCAGCAGATACATCCAGGAAAGCTCCCTTTACAATAATTCTTACATCCCAGTGACAAATTGCTTGCTAACTAGTAAAAGCTGTAAAATTGAAAAAAAAAAAGCATAAATACAAACCATCTAATAAATGGAGCTGCCTTAAAAACATCCACATGTTTACAGAAGGGGGTTAATAACAACACAAGTCCAAACGTAAGGTAATCAGCAAAATGTCTCTAAATATGTAAAACACCTCAAGAAAAACATTCAGTATGCCAGAGGGAGGTTTCTGTCCCAAACAGAAGACGCGGCAGGATGAATTACAAAATCGCTCCCCAACACTGGGTACAGTTTCCAGAATCACTCAAAACTCTCCTTTCTGCTAAGAGCCTTGTAGGTGGCTTCACTCCCCATGCCTGGTACAAGACCATATTTTTTCTGCCTCTCCTGCCACTTTTCATCATGGTTCATTTCTCCCTGAAAACCTTGAAAATTCTGGGGTCCACTTTAGTGACCATAAAGACGTATTTTTCTCTTGTGCTTCAAACACAGAAGCCCTCTCCTCCTTTGCTTTGTTCTTTAAGTCTCTGCCACCACGGTTTGTCCAAGTGTTTCTGCCAGAAATTGGTTTCCCTTTGTGTATCCCTCCAGACTTGTGCTGTGACCAGCACTTGTCCCATAACCCCTAATTACAGAGCGATTTGCCTTGCATGAATAAGTCTAGTGGTTTTCCCTGTTCTTCTCATGGGCCCGCTGAACACCACTTGCCCTTTCATCACCTTCGGGAGCTGTTCCGCTTTGCTTACGCCACATTCAGACCGCACTTCCCACTATTTTATCAAGATCCTACTCATTTGGCATCACAACCACTTATCCACACTCCAGGAAACACAGGAACAGCTTGAATCACCATCCATTAGGGAAATGCATCACCTCAAACGAGTCATTGTGACCATCGGCGACCCCGTGGACACAGACAAGAGTTCTCCCCGCAGATACGTATTTTTTTACTGCTGTTCCATAGGGTTTTGAACTCGAGCTGCCTCAACTTTTCCTGTGAACCACTGGACTGCATCACGATGAAATCCACAGCCGGACGCCACCGGAGCGGTCAGCGGTACCGTGACAAGACACGAATCAAATAAAAGCAGCCAGACAGGGCTAACTGCCCAGAAACTCGGGATCCGAAGGCATGATTTCATCTGCCCACTCGCTGGCTGCTCCTCCTGGCTACCCCTGTTTCCATCACCCTGCTCTAAGCCCCAGCGAGGACTGAGTGGTGCCGGGGACCTCTTTGGGAACACGGATCCTTTTACGACTGGACACCAGTTCAAATCCAGAGCTGAGCTGAACCAGCAGCCGAAACTTGGATCTCTCGAGGAAGGCCAAACCTGCCCAATACCGCAGCTGGCACACGTTCTCCTCCTCGGCTCCTCAAGGACATGTCCACTCCCTAAAGTGGAGTTGTCCCAAGAGGTGGCATTGTGGGGGTGAAGCCTGTTTTACCAGTGGAGGGGGTGGCTGTGGTTCCGTGGATGCACAGGACTTTGGGTTACGCAGCTTCCAGGCATTAATGTCACGTGAAGATTTTCTTCCTGCTCTTTTAATCGTATTTAGTGATTTGCCAAAAGGCAAACATTGACAAATGCATCACGAAACAGAAATCTAAACACACACATTTAAACAGACACCTACGTCTTTGCCTAGAAATAAATACTTATATAAATACGAAAATATTCATATTCACTAAAGCATTTTAAATACTTTAAAATATATTACAATAATTATGTTACTTATAAATACACCCAGGTGAAAATACTCCTTTCAAAATGGGTGAGTGGAGAAGGCAGGATACCAAAGCAAGGTGGGAAATCATTCCTCTCCAACACAGCGTTCATTTGCAACGAACGCTGAAGAAAAGTATCCGTTTCTAGGCGCAGAATACAAACCCCTTGAAGAAATCCTGCTTGCTCAGCTTTCCCGACTGCACCAACTGATGTAATAACTGGCCCATGTGATCCCGGGTGATCTGGCTCCTCTCGAGCGTCGACTCCACTCCCACTCGCACGAAAACAGGCAGCAGACTCTGGGCGCTCAGCTCCTCCACGCACTGCATTGCTTCCTGTTCGAACGACACAGGATCATTTGCCTGAACTGAACACACCAAAAAACGGGGCGGAAGAATGTTTTCTACGATAACACAGATTTGGGTTTTTTTGGAAATGAGTATTTAGGGAAGCTGCCAAGCAAAGGTGCTGAACTAGGCTGTGGAACCTCATCACAACCCACCACTGAGATGGCAACTGAATAATAATACTAATCAAAAAAAAAAAAAAAAGAATGAAAAAAAGAGAGAGATGAGAATTTGTACCATGCAGGCAACAATTTTTTAATACACAATCAGGCTCAGGGTAGAGTTTGGCTGCGCAGTGAAAGGACAGGAATTGTCTCCTGGATGCCACCAAAACGCCTATTCTTTCATCAAATCTCAAGCCAAGTCAGAAGGAGGACACCAGGTTAGATTCATTACTGATCTGGTCTGGCGCAGAAACGCCTGTGTCACAAACTCACGTCACATAAAGAAGCAGAAAATACGTGGGGAGCATTTCGAGGAAAATCTCCCCTTTCTAAAGCTCTTGCTTTCTGCCATGTGCATTTTGTAACCAGAGCAAATAAAACCCTTAAATAGAGACTTTCAGAGGAGCGATCAATGTCACACTTCAAAAATCTCCACTGTCATCAGCAAAGATCTTCCGCCGACCTTCTAGGCTCAGCCGAACGGCTCTCAGCGGGCTTCCTGCCTGAAGACATCTGCTCTTTGTCTCAGGTTGTGCCTCCAGTTACCAAGAACTGGCAGCCCCAGATGCACTCCTGCGAGCCCCGAACAGCTTTTTTCAGCAGGTCACAACCCTGGCGGTCCCAGGCCGCACGCTCAGGTCAGAGCTCTTCCGTCAGACGGGCCCGACGGAGCCCCGTGTCTCCAGGACAGAGGGGCGAACGTGCCGCTGGCCGCCCCTGCTGTCACTGGACGCTGACAGACAGCTCAGCAGTTTTAATTTACAGTCAGGTTAAATGCTGAAGACTAAACTCAGGAGAAAAGGCTGTTCCTCTGCCACATACCACGTTAACGCGCCCGTCTGCGTTACCAGCTGCATTAGCCAGAAGCGTTGCTGCATCTGAAGAGCACTGAGAATCCACAATTATCAAGTAACCCCCAACGCAAACGCGCTGCCTCAACCCGATGCACTTTATTTAACCAGAGGTGCACTTGTCGAACACAGTTCAACTCTGCTTCCAGCCAGCCAGAAAAAAAGGTCACTGTACTCGCAAGCAGAGAAGCTGAAGCAGCCCTTGGCCCCCCACCTCCGGGGCTTAGACTCCGAAGTCTATCGCCAAAAGAAAAAGGACCGGAGGCTCCTTTGCCAGCCAGCCTCGCCGTCCCCGACTCCTCCTGCTGGGACCCGCCAGGCCAGCAAACTGGGGGACACTGTGAATCAAAGGCTATTTTTTTTTTTTTCCCTCCAAACCAGGATTTAATAATTTCTCCTCATAACTAGATGTGAACCCAAAACAATCCATCGTAAGAATATTCCTCCTTCTGATTTTAATTGGAAGCCTGATGAAGTGCAGGCAGCAGCTCTGCTTTTAGGGTGCCGAGCTCAGAAATCCCTAGAGTTGCCATTTCAAACTAGGCAGGTTTTTAATATTTATTTCAGCAAAAGATCAAACCAATCAGCTTTGCAGCGAATGTAACAAGTCTTGCAAACTCCCCGGACAAGCTAACAATCCATTTACAAGGGAAACAAAATTTCAACCTTTAACTAGGAAGTGATGACAGCTGCTCGGTAATTTCCAATGTTTATTAAAAATACTCTGGAGTGGTTTGTTCAATATTTATTATTGCTTTATCTGCCTCCAGATCAGAACAGCACATGCTTTGATAACTGAATGAAAACCTCCGTTTATTTTCCCACTAGCTTTTCTGCTTCCAAAATTGCCGTTATTATGGAGCTGCTCAGCGATTCATGACAGATACACATACATCTTCCTACTTAAAACACACAAGCTGGGCTATTTTTCCTATTACTAGCAGGGCAGAAAGCAAGTTTGGGAGACAACTGTCCTGAAAATGCTCGAGGAGCTGCTGGTGCCTGAATTTTGACAGGTTCCTGTCACCTCTGTGCGAGCTGAGTGCTTACAAGGCTGCTGTCCCTGGAGAGAAAACATAGCAGAAAGGTCTGTGGGACTTGAGTAAGTGAGGTTTTAATCTTGCTCACCTTAAAATCATTAATATGCAAGAACTCATCAATGATAGATTTGCATTTTCTCTCTATTTCCTCTTCTGATAGCGAAGGCTTTTCTTGTGCTGGAGCTGGGGGAGCTTCTGGCTTGGCTGGTAGAAGACAAAAAAAAATTAAAAAAAAATCACATTTGGAAACAGAAAGTCCCCGGAGCAGGGTGTGTCCCTGCCCCATCATCGGGCACAGGTCACCTCTTTCTTGGCCACATTTCCCCCCGTATGAACCCCCAGTATTTCTGTAAACCACCCTTCTCGTAGAAACACAGTTGTCCGTGCCACAGGACGCACCACCTTCATAGCACTCGATCAACATGAGATCATCAGACTCGGAGCTGTCACAGCATGCTGCACATTTAGAACACGCTGACTGCGATGGGCAGCAACCCAAAGCCCTCTCCTGATCACATCCCCAGAACCTCGGTCCCCATGAAGCCCTTTACAAATTCCCAAACCTTCAGGACGAGCGCGTGCTGTGCCCTGGCAGCCGAGGCGCATTCCTCGCTGCGGAGTTCCTCGGTGTTGCCCAGGGATGGAGCAAAACACTGCGCTTATCGCAAAGGTTCCGTCCACGGGGAACGTCGCCCTAAGTGTCCTCCGTATCTTCTCGCTAATAAATCAGCTCAAGCTGGCAGGAGCACACAGCGGGAGCTGCAGCACTGACGAGGTGACAAGCCACCCCCGTGGGCGCGAACGCCACCCTGCACCAAGACCTGCTCGGAAGGAGGGCTGGCCACCACACAGCACACCGTCTGTCCCAGACCCAAATCACTGCTCTGACCCTAGGAAATGTTTGGAAAGGGTAGATGGGGCTTCAGTGGGCACTGAATAACCAGTTCTGCAGAGCTGACACGGATTTTGGGGACTTTGAGGCCAGGAGCAACAGCGACAGGGTACAAGCATGCAAGACAACACCGTGGAGTGGCGTTTTGCTGGTATCTGCAGCCTTTCAACTCGGATGAATCCTAAGGAGAAGCTGGTGAGAGGAGGCGACGCCAAGGCTGGATGAATCAGTTGTGTGACAAACCTTTGGGAGGCAGAGCACAGCTCTCGCAGCTCGACAATGCGTCACCGCGGGCCAAATATTCACACCGCTGCACAGAAATCTGTCACTTTTTCCGATAGATTTTTCCCTTAGGCCTTTTCACACATTCAGCAAGATTCCCTGAGCAAGGAAGAGCCGCTTACCAGATTCCTTGGCTTTGTTCCTCTCCGCCTCTGTGCTGTTTCTGTCCATCTCCATGCCGCCTGTTAACTGCTTCACCGTCTCCAGCATCTCTCTCCGCTGCTCCTCTTGTGCCTGGTTATCGAGCAGCAGCTCTTTACTGCTGCTGCCCCGTAGGAAGGTGTTGGGACGGGAGAGGGAAGGTGGGAGAGGTTTGTCGTTCTTCTCCCTGCCCGTGCTCCCGCGACTGCGGAATAAACACACACGCGTTTAAAGGTTATGGTATGAGTAACCCCTGCTCGTGGCGCTGGTAACGTGAGAAAAGATACTGCAGAGCTTTATAGGAACTGCAGGAAAACCCCCCCAACCCAAATCCAGCAGGACTGTTGTCTGGACTGGTTACAGCTGTAGTCACACAGAATATAACCCAAATTAAGGCAAGTCTTGGAGACGTACGAATAGCCACAGAGAGGACAGGCAGAGCCAGTGCTTTGCGGAGAACACATGGAAAGGCAACAAAGCCCTTACAGCACCCCTTCTTTATGCAGAATGGTGGGGTTTACAATATAAAGGCACTGTTTTCCTGGGAAATGGTGCGAGCAGTACATTTTTTACCCATTTATTGAAAAATAGCTTCCGAACGGCAAACAGCAACAGGTGACAAGGATCTGTCCTATTAATTACTGTGTTAATGAGTAAGATGGGCAAAACGATACCAGACTGGAATCATTCCCAGGTAAGCCAGAGTTTTAGGTGGGAAAACATCAGAAGGACAAACCCCAGAAAGCAGCTCGTGTGCACTGGAAGGAAGAACCAGTGACTTTTGAAATGAACTGTACATTCATAAACCGTGTCTAGAGGCAATAAATTATTGAGGGTTAATACATGTTTCATGCTACAAGCTGGAGCGGCTGTAGCCCTGATGGAAGTCGGGGTGCGAGAGCACTGCGCGGCCTTACGGACGCATCGTGGGATGCGGAGCCGTGGGCAGGCTTGGTCACACCTAACGGGAAGGGTCAGGCACAGCCAGAGAGTTCCAAGTGCCCTGCTAAATTTCTGCAGGGTTTTAGCCGAGTTTTTCCGTATAAATAAACGTACTGACCTGGCTGAATCCACAACCATTGAACCCAACCCGCACACCTATTTATTACCACATTTCATCCAAAGAGTTTTTAACCTGTTACAAACTACTAACAAATGTATCCTTTAGATAAAGGGCGACTGCAAAGTGGAAACGAAAACATTCACTGTAACGGCTTTAAAAATTAATACCACCTGCCTCCCCTCTGATATTATAAAAGATGCATGTGTTTTAAGTTAGCTCAAAGTACACGGCGTGGGAGGAAAGACCCAGCCATTCCTGGAAACTCACTGAAATTCTCTTTTTTTCTGTGTGCTGGTAACGAGAGCAGCAAGTGACCAGCGCAGGCGCACAGACAGCAGAAGGGCAAGTCACCGTCGGACCGAAGCTTACCTAGTTAAGGCCCTGCGAGAATCTAATTCTGAAGATGCGGATGAGGCAGATACGGATGAGACTGGAGGCTGCAGTGCAGAAAATCTGTTCAAACTAGTGGCACTTGGTCGTAAGGAGTCTGGGAGGTTGTAAAGACAACACAGAGAAGAGCGACAACGAGGTCAGCAGCCGCTGACACCTCGGCACCACAAAACCATTTAAGCAATAGCTGTTTTCAAAGGGATGGGGAGAGAACTGAAAGGAAAAGGCTGGTCCTGCCCCGCCTTAACCCCGCTTGCCAGGCAGTCACACACCGAGCTGAGCGTTCCCACCCAAATCCGCTCTTGGCAAGGACAGCTGGCAGCAAAGCAGAGGGTGAGGACCTGTCCTGACTTACCCATCTCGCTTGCCTTTGCTCCACCACTGCTGCCCTTTCCCCAGCTGCCCAACTGGGCTTTAGGCACAAGCTGAATCTTCTCATCTATTGTGGGCTGCAAAACACAGCAAGACGTATCGTTACAAGAGCGAATCGTTACCTCTTAATTCTAAACGGGGTATTTTTTGGCAACAATCCTGTGTTGTGAATACCAAAACGCACTTTAACACATTTTTGGAAGACAGAGCCAGACACAGAGGATGCATCATAAACAGCGTCTCCCAAAGTGTCGGTGAAACAAGTCCACAACGACCAGGAGCTTCCTTTTATTGGGAACCCTGAGGCTGAGTAGGGAGGAAAAAGCACAGTGTATCGTACTTGAAAGATGTTCAGTTTGTTTGTGATGAGTCAAACAGTTTTGCCGTCTGCTCCACCTACCAGTCACGGCTCTGGGGGGAATCCACACGGTAATGAACAGAATTTCAGAGGGCAAAGAATGACAATAGGCTGCAGAACTTGGAGGGAAAAAGCAGTGTCTGACAAGAAAAGAACATTGATTTTACAATGCTCCGTAGGTGAATTTATTGACAAGGAGGTTGTGACCCCGCAGATCTCTTTGTATGAGCTCCTCTCTCCACCCAACCACGCCGCTGTGGTGGAGCTGGCTCTGACTGTACTGTCTGTGCACTAAACGGAGTAGAAGGACTTTTCCCAGATGAGCTGTAAGCCCAGACAAAAGCAGGCTGAATCCCTCCTCCTAATTAAGCTTTGGAGTCTGTTTTATGACTTTCACAAGGAACAAACTGAGTTTGATCTGCAGAAGGGCTACAGTCTGCCCAGGTTCTGCTTTACAGCTCTCCGAGCATCCAGGCACTGAGAGTAAAATTCAGGGAGCGTGACATTGATTGGGACAAGGGAATGCCTAGGAATCGCCCTGATTTATGTGAAAGATGGAGTTCTTGGTGAGAAATCCCAAAGCTGTTCTGAAGATTGTTAAAAAGGGAGAGATCTCCAAGCCTGCCTAACCTGCAGCCTGAAATAAATGTCCCAAAATCACCGCTTTAATGGTAAAATAACAGATGCTCATCGGGAGGGGTGTGTGTGAAAGTTCATTACACACTGAGGGATGCAACTGCCCCGCACAGGAGTCCAGAAACACTGTAGAAGTGGACACAGCTCTTCTCGTCCTACTTGAACCTTTCAAGCCCGGAGCGCTGCCATCTGTGACACGTCAGGGATGTTTTGTTTTCAAACTGAACGTGGCATCGTCGTTCCACTAAGCAGCAGTGTCAGAAAGGGGTCCTGAGGACTTGAGGCAGCAAAGGATTTCTATCAGAGAGGTGTTTGAGGCCCCTTCTGCAATAGCCACGTGCTGTGCTGCATCACCACCGCACGCCATACCCCCCACCCACGGTCTCTTTTCATCATTTAATAAAATGCAGTTTTTCCAAATCAGAGAACTTCTGGGTCACTAAAAGGACACTACGAACCTGAGAAAAAGTGCCTGCATACTCCTTTCCCTCGGACAAACAAAACAGGAGCGTTCAGAAGACAACAGTCTTCCTTCGTGCTTTATTTACGGCACAGTATTCATTGCAGGGATTTAAAATGTCCCCCAAACCAAGTGTTGACCTGTAAACACCGCAACGGTCTTTCCTAGGCAGAGACAATAAGGTAAGACCTCGGCATTTTTGTTGCTCTGAACGAGCCCTGTGCTGGCACCTACCTTGGTGATTTTAAGGAACTTGGTGGGGTCCAGCACTCTGCTGTTCTTTGCCCCCTGCACAGTGTTCCAACCGCCTTCATCGACCCGCTGGACACCTGCCAGACGACAAACACAACCGCCCTTAGCTCATCCCCGCTGCTCCCCTGGGAGGACGCAGACGCTCGTCTCCAAGTTCAACAGGAGGAGGGAAAGAAGATGGCACGTTTCTGCTAAGCCTCAGCACAATTCTGGGTAGAAATCATGTCTTTGGGAGTGTTTCTTCAGATTCAGATGACATAACTAGCTCGCCTGACTTCATTATTTTAAAATAACCTTGACATAAAAGGTGTCACTATTTTCAGGGGCTGGTTTTGGTAAGTGATTCTTCCCGGTGACATTTCTCAGCGCACGTTCTTGTGATCTGGATACAGCTGCTCACAAAAGGAGCAGACGACGTGCCTTCGCTACCCCAGAGCCGCACTCGTGGCAGGTTTCAGCAGGGCTAGGCTAGTCCAGACACAGAACCATTCAGGCAGCCCCAAGTTCCTCACCTTCTCCCGATGTCACTTTTTAGGATAATTAAACCAAAGCCTACGTGTATTTTCTTTACGTCCTGTTTTCACGGCATTTTCACTTGACAATCCTTAGTATTAAGGAATCCCACAGATGACTTTCTCCTCACCCTGCTCTTTCCCAGTCCCTCCGAATTCATCTTCAGGTAGTGCCAGCCCCAAGGGCTGGTAGCAATTTAAGGTGATGCCAAGACGCTTTCTCACGCCGAGTTAACACCTCACAACTTTAACAGCCAAAGACAACATGGTTACTCTTGAAATTAGATGCTATTCTCTCGAAATTAGATTCTGCTGTATGCAAGAATGGATGGCAAATCTGACTCCTACGTAGGAACTTGTTAGAACAGATTTCTGGCAGCCTGTCACAAAATCAAATGTGGTTTGCATGAACGCGAAACTTCAGCACTATTGGCCTGCGATTGTTTACTTTTACCCAAGGGATTTGCCTCCGAAAAATCCACACAGCCAATCCACAGCAAGTCTGTTCCTTCTCCAGCCTCAGCCACCATCAGGCCCCAATTCCTTTTGTTCATTACACTTTGGAAAAACCCCAGATTTTTTTTTCTTTTATGTGGGATTCCCTCTATGGCCACTGGATGTGAAAGGAGTGAACCGAGCAGCCAGCTTGGCTTTTACTTTACCCGGTCTCCTCTTCTCTTTGGTCATGAGTTGTTGGACCTTCCTCTGTTCCTCTTGCTCTTCAATCTTGGCTTCTTTATGAATCTGCTCGATGGTCTTCGGGCCCTGGTCTGCTCTCCGTGACACCCAGTTGCACTAGGAAAGAACCAAACACGTGCTCAGAGATATCTCCAGGACAGTGCTGTAAATGGGGTATTTTGAACACCGCCAACGAGGCCTGATCCTCCCACCCTTGTAACGTGTCAGAGGGGCTGCTCCCCGAGAGACCCGGGAAGATTTTGTGGTGCCGGGTCATGTTGTGGACACGGTTATGCCAGCACCACTCTGGCATATAAACTCTGGTATAAGTTTTGGTGGAGAATGGAGGCTGCAGTGAAGACCTGACTTTGGAGAGGCATGACTGAATTCAAGACGTTTTAACATCCAGCATCCCGCACGTTCCCAGCTTTCCAGTCTTTCTAGGTTCAGAGGAAAGAGAAGAACCAGAGGGAGGCTGCTGTCACCCTCTATCTGTTTATTACTGACCCTGTCCGTTGGAGCCCTTCCTCCAAGCTTGATGAAAAAAAATGAAACCCTCAAAACAAAGAAGCAAGAAGCGACTGCATTTTATCTGGAAATGGTGCTTTGCCACTCCAGGGATCGTGATGGCTGAGACAGGAATCCTGCAGAGAGGGGTGGAACTGTCTCTCCACAAAACACTTCCACTGCTTGATGTGTCCATTCAGCTGTACACTGCACAGACCCATCTACCCCCAGAGCAACCAGACTGTCTCTGGATCTTGCTGCAACCTCATTACAACTTTGGGGGCAACTATCTCTGCGTCCCCTGCAGTCAAAACAGTGACTTCAGCCCCCACAAAACCCCAAACCAGCTTCACACCAGCTGTGTGAGGTATGAGTAAGACCCGCTCAGGACTTTGGTTGAGTGCTGTCTCGCGGCTAAAGCCACGCTGCTCTCAGCACCCACCCGGGTGAAGTTACAGGTGCTGGAGAACCTTTGTGCAAGCTGCAGGCCCGCCTGCGGGGCAGAGACACCCTCCACTGGACGAGACTCCAGCTTTAATGCCTTGGCTACGTGCAACACCATTGCCTCACGATGACACGGGCAGGGCCCTGTCTGCACCGTGCGTGCACTTCTCTACACCAGGTTATTAATTTTTGGAGCTTAGTGTGGACCCACCACCATCACATTCTGACGGAGCGCAGACTCCGTTTGCTTTTGTCTGCACAATATGGCCAGTCAACAACCAGCAGACGCCTGGTTGTGCTGCCAACACAGGCCCATCTTTTGACGAGATCCACGCTGCCGCAAAAAAGAGCCCTCACCGTTTTTACAGCCACGCTAACCGATCCCCCTCACTTGTGGGGTACGTGTCTCCGAGCGCTCCGGTCCCACCAGCACCACTAAGTGCCGGTAGGGAACAGTTACACCCAGAGTGCAGGGAAAAGAAGAGAGCAGAGCAGTGTGACTGACACAGGCAAGCACAGGGGATGCTGTGGGGGAAAAAACACCCAGAACCTCTCTTGTGAAAGAGCTCCGGCGTGTTTGCTGCGATGGGGCTGGACTAGCGGCACGAGAAGCCAGGGTGGGCTTGTGTCTAATGTCAAGCAGAACAAATCCCCCCGCCCCCGACACAAGCAGTTTGTCTGTCTAACAACCTCAGCCTTCATTAAGGCAAAACGAGAGATTTCTTGTCTTTAAACAGCCAGGCTTTTGGGATAAGGGGTGCAGATCTCCCCCTAACATCCCACTTCTGCTGTAAATCCCTGCTCTTGCATAAGTGCTCTTCCAGCCCGGACACGAACGGGATCATGCTCTTGTACTTACTCGAGTTGGTACCTACCAGCCTTAAGTCTATTACATCCTGAAGCATGAACCGAATCCTTGAAGATGTTTTCCTCTCTTTCACAATCTTCTCCATCTGATTAAAGTATTGGTCCATGCGAGGCTACACAAGAGAAACATCATCATCATCAACGTGTCTTGGAAGAAAATGAAAATACCCCCTCGTGGGGGGAGTCAGTGGGTTCTGCGTTCCCGCACTTCCGTGCCAGAAACACATCTGGGGACCCAGAGCTGCTCTCTGGAGAAGTGAGTGTTGGGTCTCCTACGCTCCCCCAGGCTGCACTTGAGCGTGCACAGGGCAGGCTTGAGTGTGCAGGACACGAGGCACAAATCTGCAGGAGCCTCCTTGTTTAGCACACGCTTTCTCTGCCTTTTTAATTACTCAAATAATCTACATGTACAGAATAAACTTGCCATCCATTAAAAAAAAAAAAGAAAAAAAAAATCAATGTGGTCTTTTTTCACAGGAGAGCTAAGCTGGCCGACTGGCTAGCTGCCAGCGAAGAGGGGAGTCCTGCTCCACCTCCGAGCTCCTCCTCCTCCTATCAGCGTGCGTGCTCACCTCAGCCCAGGAAAAACTGGCTCAGGAAACTAAACGGGCATCAGACTAACCCTGCACACATCATTTCGATGCTTCACCTCCCTGAACTGCCTCAGCCGGGGTCAGGCAAGAGAAGCCGGGGCAGAAGCACCGCTTCTCTCAGCAAGCAGCTGTTTAACGGCTTGGCTGTAGTGTGAAATCCCACAAGCTCCTTTTCATCCCAACCGTCGTGACGTGATGGAATCCAAACCAGTTTGCCCTGAGACATGAAATGGTATCATTAGAGAAGCCTCCAGTAGGTCTCAACTTGACTCGTCAGGCTCCAAGAAGCCCCGAAGTGAGGGCTCTGGTTGTTCTAAACTAGAAGTTTCAGGGTAGTTTTTATAAAATGTTTCCCTCTCCCCTCACGAAAAATTAGCTAAACTCTTAAACAAACAAGAAAAATCCTATTAAAACTTGGTTCTGGCCTTGCCTTGGAAAGTTTCAGCTCCGAGAGCAAATGTTTCCCAAGTTAGGAACAACGGGGAAAATATTTGAAATGGCCTTTGTCCAGAAGCTTTAATTATAACTATCACTAACACTTCAGCTTCAATAAAAACACATAATAAAAAGTCTACCCCACTAATAGAAAATAAATAAAGGATTCTCACGCAATCTTGATAGAAACAACAAATCACAAAGACAGGACGTGGGCAGCTTCTCACAATGGGTAACACGACATCGGCAAGCACTTCCCCGCTGCCTGCACGCTCCGTGCTACGCAGTGCCACAGCTCGAGGTTGCAGACCTGGCCAGTGCACCAAAATACTGGCTTTTACAGCATTTCCGTGCTCGTGAAGACCAAAACAGCATCCAAGACTCATCCAGCATGACCTCAGCTACTGCTTAGAAGTTTCTGCAGCTGTTTTCTTCCCAAATCATGGGAAAAAATTTAATTCCCACTTCTGACACTTTCAAACCTCCCTCAATAACGCACACGCTGTTGTGTTAACAGCGTAGGGCGTTTCGCCTGGGCGATTAGTGGTAAACGAGGCTGGTTTGGCCAACGTCCTGCAAAACAGTTTGGAAATCTTCCCCATAAGGATCAGGATTGATCCGCCATGATCCCTGCAATCCAGCGCACTGTAAGGGAACTCCCTTCCCTGAGCAGCTGCAAACAATTAGCTCCATTTGGTTCCAGAGCCGAGTTCGACCGATTTCTGGCAAAACCCTCCAATGCTTTTTCATCCCAAGCCTGGCTTTGGCGAAGGAGAAGCAGATTGTCTGTGCCAAGAGCAGCTCATCGAGTGCGTAATGCTCCGTCCTGCATGTCCGTTTGTTGGGAAGTCGGGAGGAGGATGCTGGAGCGCTGCAGTTGCAAAACAGCTGCTTCATCCCAGCGTAGCTGGAGATGACGATGGCCCAAAAGAAATGAATCCACCAAGGTTCAGGTAGGGGGTTAGGCCAGATAATGAGGGTTTTTTTAGATTTTACCCCCACAATACATTCAGTGGTAGATTTCGTAGGTAATATAAACCTTCAACAGTACAGAAACAACTCTAAATATTAATGTTTTGGAAACTACAAGGTAAGAAGTAGTTCTACTTGGAAAAAGCAAGTGCTGAGCATTTCTACACTGTGTGCTTGGATGAAATATTTGGAAACAAGCAGCAACTGGAGAACGCTGTTGAAAATGACACAGACTCTATTAGAAAGGGGCAGAGTGGAGGGAGCGAGGCCAGGCCATGATGAAACATCCGCAGCAGAGCGGATGATTCCCTCATACCGTACAGAAATGCCTGAAGAAAAAAAATAAATCCTCAAAATAAAACCACCCCACACCCATTTTTCCATCCCTGCCCCGCCAGCCTCGTCTCTCACTCCCGGTCCTGCCCTACCTTTGCTTTCTCAAAGTCCAGGTCCTTGCCAATGGTAGTTAGCAGGCGGCAAAGGCACTCAAGGGACTCCTCATCATGGTTTTTCAGCAGTTTTACCACGCAGTCATGCATGATAGCCTCCGTCAGCATTTTCAGTTTGAAAAGCTCGCCAATGAATTTTATATTCCCAATGGATCTCCGCCGGGCTTTGTCCTTGGCCTCTTCCAGCTCGTCATGGAGCCGCGTCTTCTCCTCTGGCTGCAAAACAGACAAACAGCTCTAAAAAGCCATGTTCACAGAGCACAGAACTCTTCAAAAGATGCAGGTTTACGTTTATAGTTGCTGTTGTCCCCATTTACTCTTTTTTCTCCTAAAAACCAAAACCAGGCTGGCATAAACCCACTAATCAAGGCAAATTTTTTTTATTACACTCAGCCACAGTGACAGAACGAAACTCCCAACTCCAAAATTCCCCCCGAATTGACTGCCATCTTCAAAAGGGTTCATTTTCAGAGGGAGCTCTGAGAATTTATGGGGAAAAAAATACCACTTACAGTGGTAGCAGCTTCAAGTTCTTTCTGCTTCTTTTCAAAGACGTCGTCGTCAGCCTTGTCCTTTTCAAACTCCTTCTGGCACCGATTTAACAGCAACTTGCGGAAATTGACTGTGCTCCCAGGTTTGTCTGCCATGGGCACTTTCAGCTGCAGGAGAAGGAAGAAAAAACCTCAGCAGAAATATGGCTAAACTCCACATAGGAGCGAGGTTTCCGACAAGCCACCCGTGACATTTTATTATGCACTTCATATTCAGCGACACGAGTCTGCCAGGCTACGGCAGTTAAGCCTCACGTCATGATTTCCAGCGGAGTTTTACACTCCGTACGTCAAGCTGCACTCCAAACTCACGTCCCCTCTGCCCAGAGACAGATCACCTTTCCATCCACAGGATCCTTCAAAAAGACACTGTGCTTAAAACCACTCTTGTTAAGCGCTGAAGACTCTGGAGCCGTGCTCCTTCATTGCGTGTCTGGAAGGATTGGGGAGGGAGAAGGGGGTTATTTTGTCCCAAATTCACCATCTGAAAACTCGCTGCCTGAAGCATGGCTTGGCACCTTGGGCTGCCCTTTGAAATGAGAGAGAAATTGGACTTTCCAAACGTGACTCATTGCACCTCGTGACCAGGCAGAGCCAAGTGTCCAAACAACAGAGCTCTCCAGGCAAAGCCCTCTGCCTGCAGGCACGGCCAAGGAATGCAGGAGAAGAAATCCTTCGTGCAAATGATTTTTATTTACAGTCAGAAACCAACGTTTAACCCTGCTCTTGCCACACTGATATTACTGCCAACCAGTTCATGGGGCCAACGTGCAGAGCATTCATCCGTGCAGAGGAATTTCCCACTTGACTTTGGCAGCTCTTACCGTCACGAGACATCGGCACATGTTGGCATACGCCACCGAGAAGCTCGGTTCATCGATAGCCTTCTCGAAGACCAGGTCGATGACTCCTTTCAGTCTCTCTTCTGTATCTACCGTCAGGTCTGTCACTTGCTTCATCAGCTGATTGAACATCTGGGGCGTCAGCTTGTTCAAGATGCTTCGTACCTTGCGGAACAGCTCCTAAAGAGCAGAAGAACTCTAAGTTTAAGCACAAACCGAACACGTGGCTTTCAGGAACGAGCTAGGACGTGCTTTAAAGGCGAACAGAGAAGATGTCCTACAGGAACTTCTAGGAAGTTGAGTGACACCCAGACGCACATTTGTGCACAGTCCAGCTCCAGTCCTAACTCAGCTACCGGCTACCAAAGACCAAGGCAGGAGTTTTGGAAACGCCCAAGTACTTTTTTCAAGTGACAGAGGCACAAAGCCCCTGCTGTCACCCCACTGAAATATTCTTCCTGATATCAATTTAGCCATGAGATATATATTAACGGGGAGCAGCTGCCTTCTCCCTCAATTAGAGGTAATCAACTTCTCCTCTATTTAAGGCACTTTCTTTTTTTTTTCCCTATCCAGAATGATAATTAGGTCAACAACGCTGCCATTAGCCCCGAGAACAGAATTCCAGTGTCCTTCAAGACTATCTCAACTTATCCTACAAATTACAAGTTTGACCATCAGGCAAATACCTCCGCCCCAAGTGGCTGCCCCACAGAGAGGAGGGGGAGAAAGACACAGAGAAAGCCTCAGAGACAGCACTGTTGGGCTGGGCAGGACAAACTGAGGGCACTTTACAGGGGAACCAGTGTCTTGCTGAGGTTCAGGGCAGAAATGTAGTCTAAATGGGGATGAAAAGCAAGTTCTTTGCTGGAAGTTTGAGGTTGTTTGCTTTAGAAGGGAGACCGAAATACTCTAGTAAAATAGCAATAGAAAAACAATCCTGGAAGAGAGGTAGTAGGTTGTCTGGTGTTCCCCATTTAGACTCGCTTAACATACAGGATTGCCATTTAAACTCCAGGTCAGGAATAAACACATTTTTTTAAAAAAAAAAGCAAGGTGGGGAAAGCTGCGATTCCAACTGGAATTCATTACCCTTTTTTACTGCCTTACACAACAGCAAAGGCAAATTACCATCCTCCTCCTGTTTCAGACTGCTGCGCTCAGAAGCACTTGCTAATGCTCTCACCTGGGTTTTGACATTTTCCGGGTCCTCGGTTTGGTTTTCTCTCTTCAGGCTCGGCTTCCAGGCATTCTCTGCCTTCTTCAGGTGGACATCCTCCTTTACACACACAGTGATGATCTTCCTGGGCTCTCTCCTCTGGCCTGGCTGAGATCTCCTCGGTCCAACATTCAACAACTAGGACAAAAACATTCCTTGTTATATCCCCTTTTAAACTCGCACCTCGATAAAACACTCCAGGGCGCACGCCAACACCCGCTGACGGCAACGCCGGCACTCAGCACCTCCTCCTAGGACTTTGAGGACTCCCTCTGACCCCACACACCGGTCTGGGTTGGTCAGAGGGAACATGAAGACACCCAAACACGCTCCTCTTGGGCAGCTCTTCCCGAAACAGATACGGGATGAGCACTGCCTACACGCATCGGCGATGCTCCGGACGCTGCTGAAGCGCTGCAGAACTGAGCCCAACTGACCAAAACGGCCTCTTGAAAGCCAGAAACTGCGTAACTGAGACATGACAGCAAAGGGCTATTTAAGGATTAAGTCCTTACAGACATATTTCAAACGTGCCATCCCAAGCAACTAGATAATGATAGATTAGCAGCTCTGCCAAAACTGTTAAGTTTTACTGGAGATTGCTTCAAACAGAGCCATTTTGAGACAGGAATTACATAAACCACACTGAGCATCAGTGCAGCTCCTGCATTGTAGAAGTACGGATCCTAACAGATATGGGTCAAACTCTTTGTAGTTTCACAGAAGAAAGGGAAACACGGTACTTTGAAACAGCATCAAGCGCGCCTCTGCAATTCTGTAGAACGTGATGCTCCTCCCAGTTAAATAAGGTATGAAAACTGCCAAAACTGGGGCGTTTTTCATCAGCTGTACAAGTGACAGGGCACAAGACACTCCCAAACTCCCTCTTCATCATCTGGGAGCTTCAGACTGGGGACTAAAGGTACCAAATGTTGTCAGGAGGTTACTCTTCCCCTGAGCGCATTCATATTTCTGAACTCATTTATTAGAAACGTCCAACCTCAATGCAAAAATTAGCGGAGCAACAAAACTCCATTATCAAACCCTGATACTTTCCACAGAAGTGATTAATCTCTTCAGTAGGCAGTAGGCAACCTCCACATGAAAGATGGGCCATTTAAAACATTTCTTTGTTCAGCAAAGGGATTCGATGAGCATCAGAAGCAAAACCATCTCGGGTATTCGAACAGCTTCACTGAATACAGGAGGAAAGTGCTCTTAGTTGGTGACTCTTATGTCACGTACCAGCCCCAAACCTGGTTTTGCACTATTAAAAACCAAAATCCTCCTTAAAGGCAGGAGCTTGTAACTGCAATTTGAACTCTTTGGCTTTGAGGATGTAAATATGGGCTGCTGATGAAAGCAAAGAAACATAATCCCCGCCACTGCTGGAGTTCTCGTTTGGGCTTCGTTATGGGATAACAGCCGCAGAGTAAGATGTTGTCAAAAGACAACGACCTCATGCTGTGCCGGGCTTCGTTCGCAGAGGCGACGCACGGCAGAGGGCTGTGTGGTGCAGCGTGCCAGCGAGCTGCCCCACCACTGAGGAAGACCTGCGTTCAGATCCCACCGGCACGCACAGAAATGACCCACCAGAGCAGTCAAACGTTTTTGGGCGCAAGCCTTAACTGTAACGCAACTGCGCGCATCAACGGCTCCCGAGAAATCAGCAGAGGAACGAGACAGCAAGAACGGGGAGCCTTCACGATGCTTTCGTGTGTTAGACACGTTCCTACAACAGTAGTCAATCCCTCCCTACGACCCCTCTCTCTGCTACCGAGCCCTTGATCAACACCAGTATGACCAGCAGCAAAATCTGCCTCGCAGTCCTGCGCCGAGACATCCGCCTCTGGTTTTACGCAATTTCACACCATTGCACTGCCCAGGTTCTAACCACGCTGCACAGGTACGGCTGTGGGAAGAAGAAACTTCCCTCCAGCTGAAAAACCAGACAATAACGCAACAGAAAACCGACGGGTTTCAGCCGCACGCACTAGACCTCATCCCACACCTCCTTGCTCACGGAAATCTCGGTAACCAGAGGCAGACCGGCAGCGTGCCCTGAAAATTTAAACGTTTGGGCTCATTTCCCCCAGGAAGGCAGGCAAGGCAGACGAGAGGTGACCTGTGGCCGCCCCGTCTCTTGCGTGCGGAGGCAGCT